AAAAATTAAATCAGAACCACTTGACTTAGTTTTCAGACATAAATAGTATTGCCAAGCTCTTAATTTTGGTGCTCAAATGGGAACTGTCACTTAGTGAGGAAAAGGAGCACAGGAGACAGAGAGTGATGAATTGAGGTGTCTTGCAGCTTCTTTATTTCAAATCACAAGATACCAAGAATTTGGCAGTGTGGACTCCTTCTGCAGGTCATCTGTGAATGTTCCTTCTCTTCTGGTTTAAAGTCATAATTGGAGGAAGTAACTTTAAGACTCATGAAAAGTTATAGAGGAGGAGAGGAAGTCAACTATAACCTAATTAAGAGCTTGGACTTTGGCATCCAACATATTTATTGTATGGCCTGGTACAAGTTACTTAACCTCTCCATGCCTCAGTTTCCTTGTCTCTAAAATGGGGACATAATAGCGCTACCTCCCAGGGTTGTTGAATGAGGATTAAATGAGATAATATATGTAAAGCGTTTAGCACAGAGCCCAACTCCTCAAAAGCACTCAGTAAACAACTATTACCACTGCCATCCAGTGAGAGGTACCCACAGGTGTCAAAGCAGAGGCTGACAAAGGGCATGCTACGAGTGAGCACTCAACTAAGAGCTTCACATATACCGACTATTTAATGTGGCATCGAATCCTCATACCTGGGAATTAGATATTATCCCCATTTTACAGATGAAAAAAATGAACGATCTGAGGTCTGTAACCCGCCCAAGGCCACAGAGCTCCTGAATATCAGAGCAGATCCTCCCCAAACCCTTCCCTGATTTTCAGCTCATTCAGGCCCTTCTTCAGGGATATGCTCCTGGGATGGTTTGAGTCGGTGATGGTTAAATTGCCTCAGTTAAGGGGCCTGAGTAACTTATCTCAACATCTGTCCTCAAATACACTCTGGGAAGAGAAACTGGGGAAGGACATTTACCCCAGGGCTCACAGAAACTCTGCCCCACAACCAGAGTACGAATCCTCCAGAAATACTTCATTTTACACCTATAAGGAATGTCATTCCCCCAATTCCCTTACTCGGCCTCAAGCACATCCTCAAATCCCTGGAGTATTTATGACAAAGACTCAGAGAATTCAGCTGGGTTCTCCTGGGCCATTTTTTTCTCCAAGGAGCAGACGTTGCACGTTAGAGCTAATAGGCTTCAGGTTACACAAGCAGCGAGACTACTATCTACTAATAATATTGTGAGTGATTTCAGTTCCCACTGGGCTGTTATTCATAGCAAGACAGTGACTTTACTCTTAGATTCTTAAAAGCACTTGACTGATCTGAATTAATTAAGCCACATAAACCTCCTGAGAGGTAAAGAAAAGACCTAGGAAGAAAAAGATGAGGGAGAAGGATGAATAAGTGTTGTCTGATACTGAGATGAATCTCTCCAGTGGTCTAATGATATAGCAAGCGAACTGCACTATCATAACCAATGAAACTCCAGGGAAATTTAGAGGTAATTTGTAACAACAAAAATTGCCATTGACAGTGATTAAAATATTAGAATTATAAAATACTTAGAGCTCAAAGGATCCTTAGAAATCATCTGGCACAACCCATTTTAAGACACAAAAATATGGCTGCTTTGATGTGTGAGAGGGGGTGGCAGACCTGCTGATCCTCAGGACTCTTTCTGGCTGCTGGTGATGAGCTTGAGTGACTTTTCACTAATGTTCCCTGCAGCAGGAGGGGTGGTGCCCAAACGACCTCTCCCCTCACCCCCACCAGGGGGCTCAAAGACTCCAGGTGCCTAAAGAGCTACACCTAAGCACAGACTACTCGGTGCCTGACTTGCAAAATATTTGTCACCCGGTGACAAGTTCACTCCTTTTGGTTCATTAAAAAGGATAGCAACAGGGGTGAGGTCCTTCTGCTAGAACATAGTCCACAGTGCATCGAGCTGCACCTTGCCCAAGCACACTTCTCCATAGGATGCCAGAAGATTGAGAGACTTATGAGTCATCTGACCCTTCTCCCTGAGAGTCCCAGCTCCTCCCAGCAATGCTTGCTGGAGTTCACCTACACCCTTTTCATGACACTCATTAACACATTAGCCCTTCTAGACCTTTTCTGCAGCTATTTTTCACTGAATACACTATGCGTATCTTTCCGTGTAAGTATACATGGATAAACATTGTCTTTTTTAAGGACTGCATGATATTTTACTGCATAGATACAAGACTATAATCAGCCAATCTCCCTTTGATCTTTCCAATTTAGGTCTTTCCAATTTTTCACAATTAAAAACTATACAGCAGTGACCAACTGTACAAACCCCTTTGCACACTTGTCAGATTATTTCTTTTGGATAAATTCTTAGAAGCAGAATTGCCAGATCAAAGAACATGGACTTTGAAAAGACTTTTGATATAATCTGCCAAATTTTTCCCCAGAAAAGTAGTGTGAGAGTAAGTTTCCACAAAATTTCTGAGATAGACCATTAATGATTTCAAATATTTTCCTTGTGTTTCCTTCCAATAGAAGTTAATAGCCTAGTCAAATGCCACATGGTAGGTACATTTACCAGAGTCTGAAGAGGCTGGATAATGTTCTATAAGTTGTGACAGTTTTGAAAAAAATGAGAACAGGTAACCACTGGAAGTAGAGAGATAAAGAGATGTTTTCTTTATTATGCATCTTAATTTTGATAAGGATGTCATTTTTTTTTTCTGTAAATTTCCAATTTTGGATAGTGATTATTTCTGCATGGTGAAATTATAAGATGATTGATGATGATGATGATGATGATGATTTCGTTTTTCTATATTCTAATATTTTTACAATGTTCTTGTGATACTAGTGCAGAGTTTCTCAACTTTGATACTATTCACATTTTGGTTCAGATAATTTTTTGGCGTGGGAAGCTGTCCTATGTGGCATAGGACATTTAGCAGCAACCCTGGCCTCTACTCACCAGATGCCAGTAGCCCCTCTACTTGTGATAATCAAAACTGTCTTTAGATATTTCGAAATATCTCCTAGGGGTCAAAATTGTCCCTAGTTGAGAACAACTGTATTAATACTTTAGACAATACTAAAAATAATAATAAATACTTACAGTACTCTGTGCTAGACACTTATTCCCACTGCTTCAGAAGTATTATCTTACCAGTCTGAAGGGCAAGAAGTACTGCTGTCCTTAATGAGAATCTGGACCTTGGCAAGATTTATGATTTGGCTCGTGCCTTACATTGATTATGACATTCTATACAAATATGTATTTCAACCACTTTGTGAATAGGACCATGTAACAAGCATTGTGCTAGGAACTTCACATTTATTTAGTTCGCTGATTCTCAGACAGCCTAAGTCACTTTCCCAAGAACACACAGCTCGTTTAAGTAGGGAAGGCCTGGATATCAAAGTTCTTTTATCAAGGCAGTGCCGAGACATGAAATAAGGTACCCCATACATTATTTCTGCTCCTGTTCTGCTCCTATTTCCCATCTACCCTAAATGGGCAGCCTTGTTGAAGAACCACAGCTAGAGCTAGTCTTGCCCCTGGGGCCAAAGGAATCCATCACTGGAAGCAGCTGGAAGGAGACTGGTTCTCCACCCCAGCTTCATTCAGCAAGGGAGGAAAGAATTGCACAAAGCTGAAACTGCATCGCAGTCTAGTTGGCTTGTCTGGCCCAGTCGAAGCCCCTCCTTCTCTTTGTGAGCCGAGTGTTAGGTATGAAGTGTGAGGATGGGGAGGCGGGCACGGAGAGCCCTTCTACCTTGACCCAACAGGTCTGGCTGGCACCACAGCCGTGTCGGAGTGGGATTCAGGCTCCAAGGCCACTCCGGCCAGGGACCGAAGCTGGAAAAGTAGGGAGAAGGGCTCTGGTGACTCTCCCAAGAACTGAGCAAAACCTGGCACCCACCCCTCACCACTAACTCAGCCTGGCCACTGGTCCGGTGCGCTCCAGGAGCGCAGCTTGCTCCGTGGCTACAGCACTTTGTTCGCAGCCGGCTGCTGCCCAGCGCCGGGACCGAGAGCAGTCCGCCCGCAGCGGCGCCTGGAGGTGTGCGCCTCACCAAGCCGCGGGAGCCTCGAGTTTGAGAACCGCGGGTCGAGGAACCAACTGGGAGCTGCTATCAGTCAGGTCGGACCACCCAGATTTGTAACTAAAGTAGGGTCCAGGTTCCCGAGAGACATCTCCAATTTACACTCTGGCCCTCGGACCCCGGACTCGGAGTCCAGGCTGCCCCGTGGGCAAATCGCCCCGCGTTCGGGTGTCCCGTCTGCCTTTCTGGGCAGCGGCGGAACGAACCCCCGCTGCTCCAAGCACCCCGACTGGACCCCTGGGCAGCTTCTTCTGCCCGGGTGGCCTCTCCCCGGGGTCTGTCCCCTTCGCGCCCCCACGCGTCCTTCTTTGTTCCTGAGCTTGCTCTGAAAGTGATGTAACGAACACAGGCTCGCGCGCCGCTTTCCCTCTTTTCCAGACGAAGTCCTCCCTCCCTCCAACACGGCGATCCGCGCAGAGCCCGGAGCTGGGCTGCGCCGTCGCTCTGCTTCCAGAGCCCGGGGACCGCGACGCGCGCTGTGGGAAAAGATGCGCTCCCAAGTCCCATCTCCTGGATGCAGAGTCAGTGGGAAAAGCTAGGCTTTCCTTCCAGAAACAAAGGAGAGTCCAGGGGACAGCTGCTGTGGAGGTTTCTAAGGAGACAGACTGGCTTCTTTCTCATCTCCCAGGAGACCGCAGGATACCTAAGGTACCTAGGTGATCCCCGCCGGTGGATGTTTATATGAGAGACAGGTTACAATAGTAAAGAGACGGACAGACAGACAGACAGACAGAAAGAGAACAACTGAAACGGGGCGGGGGGCGGGGAGAGAGACCAAAATTGTCAGACAAGTTTAGAGTCAGAGACAGTAATAGAGAGTTGGCGGATGGAAATTAACTTGGATATTTTCTTTTTTTTTAACCCACTGTGGTTTGCCTTTGAGGGAAGAGAAGAAAGCTGCTTCCTGGCCAGCAAGAAGCCCTCAACCTGGATGGAATGAAAGATGCGGCCTGATGACATTAACCCGAGGACTGGGCTGGTGGTGGCCCTGGTCAGTGTCTTCCTGGTCTTTGGCTTCATGTTCACTGTCTCTGGGATGAAAGGAGAGACTTTGGGAAATATACCCCTCCTGGCCATCGGGCCTGCCATCTGCCTACCAGGCATCGCGGCCATTGCCCTGGCCAGGAAGACGGAGGGGTGCACCAAATGGCCTGAAAATGAGCTACTATGGGTCCGAAAGTTGCCCTGCTTTAGGAAACCCAGGGACAAGGAGGTGGTGGAACTGCTGAGAACTCCTTCGGACCTGGAGTCAGGCAAGGGAAGCTCAGATGAGCTGGCTAAGAAAGTGGGCCTCAAGGGGAAGCCTTCTCCACGAGGGCAGGCTGAAGTGCCTATGGCCAGCTCCATCACCACCCCCACCCCCACGGAAGAAGGGGAATGCCAGAGCCTGGTCCCCAGCGGGCATCAGGAGGAGACATCCAGATACCTGGACGGCTACTGTCCTTCAGGCAGTTCCCTCACGTACAGTGCCTTGGATGCCAAGTGCTCAGCCTGGGACAGGTCTGAGTGCCCCCAGCCCGAGGACAGCATCTTCTTTGTGCCCCAGGACAGTATTATCGTTTGCTCCTACAAGCAGAACAGTCCCTATGACAGATACTGTTGTTACATCAATCAGAGCCAAGGCAGGTGGGACCACGAAACGATAGTCTAAGCTTTGCATACAAGGGTCGCCGTGTTGATAGAAAGATGACTACACTCAGCTCCCAGTGGAAAGAGACTGCCCTGCTCCAACAGCCTTCACACTGTTAGAAATTAACCTGGTATGTGATGGGTGTGCAAATCTCCGGTGTCTGAGAGCCTTGTAAATAGGCATGTTGGGAACACATTTTAGAGAAGGGTGATGAGGGTTAAGGATACTGGAAAAGCCGACGGGTAGGAAAGGAAGCAGTTCCAATTGCTTTTTAACAATTTAAACTGAGTTGGATGTTTTGTAAATAACCCAAAAAGTGCTACTCAGTATTTGCCGAAAGCAAGATAAATCTCTGAGTGAGCTGCAGATACCAGACATGAAATGATATATGTGCTATCCATAGGGACACTGAGCTACTTTAGGTCTGAAAAAAATCGAAAGAAAAAAGCAATTCAATGCTTCATAATATGAAATTATTTTTATTTGTTGAGATCTTTTCACAGTATTTGCTAAAGAAACAATCAAGATAGAATAGCTACATCCCTCCGTAGGTGGGATGGTTTTTGGAGAAAGGGGAGTTAAAGACGGCTGAATTATATAATTGAGTTTTATGATATTATCCTCTGACGAGGTCATGAATTTCAAATAAAGTAAAACAAACATGACCAGCTAAGTGAAAAACTAACATTTTAGATGGTTATGTGACTTCTAAAACTCTTCATTTAAAGTGATTTACTGGGTCTTTATCTGAAGTGTTTTCTAACATTTACTATCTTTCATGTATAATTTCCTCATCAGGTGCAAATGACTTGATATAATATTTTCATAGATTAGAATTTGTTTTCATCAAATCAAAATGGATTTTACATATGTATACAAGTGTCTTTAGCATTTTGGGGAGACATGTACTGGTAATTACTATTCTTATATGCCTTTTAAAATCTGAAGACGACGAAGTCAACACATTAGTCATGAACTTTATGCAGAATTCACATGAAATGCAATGGTTAAACTTCTAGAAATTTTGTAATTTGTACATATGTTCGACACTCTCAAGAGTGTAAATGTCAATGAAATAAGTTAATCTACTAGATTTAAGCTCAGTTTTTATTAGGTTCACCTGATCAGTGAACATTACACAACAAAGATCTGTTCTATTTCTTATTTAATTTTTTGCTGCTGAGAAAAAAATCACAATGGGATCCTAAAATGTATTTCCTATTTCACTTGCTCAACTCTAATAGATAAGAGCTCAATCAGCCAGAATACTATTTGATCCCTGTTGAAGAGAAATATTGAATTATATATAGAAAGAGTGGCATATTTTTTCTTGAGGATCAGAATAATTTTGCATCCTTCAAAAAATGATGATTTATCCTTAATAATCATATTGTTTCAGCCACTTTTCCCCAAAAGGGTAATTGAGGACAAAAATTTGAGTATACTTCTTTTGTGTATTTCAGGTCTAACTCTGCAATTCTTTAAGTGTAGCAATTATTCTGTCTTAAGAATCATGCCCTTAAATATCGCAATTTTTAAATCCAGTTCAATATCAAAAATATGTAATTGTCTTTTAGTGGGTTTTTAAATGTTGGAAAATGAGGTTTGTGATCCTAGGCAAATTCTATCTTCTCACACCTCAGTTCCCTAAAAAGGGAGGAGTGGGACTGACTTACACTAGATTATCTCTATCCTTCATTCCCAGTTTGAACATTCTACAGCATTATGTCAAAAGCACTTTATATATTGCCAGGAAATGAGTTACAGAAAAATGCCAGCCAAAGTTATGCAATTCATGGTAACAGTTATGAGACATGGATTGAATTCTTGCTACTACTAAAAAGAATTTTGTAGGTGTTTGAAAGCTGATTTGTTTTATTACCAAATTTATTTGTTCCGCAAAATACATTTCTGGTAATAAAACAAAGATGTTAAGAGTAAAATTTTTTTAGGAGAAATTTTTCAATATTAGTACAGCTCCAAATAATCTAATATATACCCTTACACTAAATGTAATTTACGTTGGATTTGGCATGGAGGGAAAATAGTTTCCTAAAATGATGATACCTCTTAATAATTCTAATGCATTTTGAAAGAGGAAAATCATATTTCTATGAAGGTGAAAATTATTGGATAACTCTTAGGAATAAAAACTTCCTCTAATTTGTTTGTCACTGTGGACAGCTTTAGAGGTGAGGAGAGAGCAAGACATCAGAGAGAAATATTCACAGAGACTCAGTAAATTTTAAAGAAGGTCTAAAAAGAGATGCCTGTAGTGTCAGGTATGATTTGGGGTTTGGAAAAGTTACTTTCTAATTTCTTGGAACCAGCTCAGACGTCTTCGTATCCTACACACACACACATACATTCCAATTTCCAAATCCAAAGTCAACTACTAGTTTAGAGATATAAGGTATTTCATCGCATTTTCAAGTTCTCTTTCAGAAGAAACTTCAGGTTTCTTCTTCTATCTACCTTCTTAAGATACTTAAAGTATCTAAATATGCATTTGAGGGAATTTTCTTCAGTGCTGAAATAATGGTTTGCAAATGTTGAGTAGGGAGGCTTAACATCTTACATTAGGCAACCCCCTCAATATGGAGCAAGCTAGCCTAGTGCCCCAAATCAACACTTGTTAAGTACCATTCAAGGTAAAATGATCATTCTCTTGAACAGAGGTGGAAGAGAAGGAAAACGAGGAAAGTGTCCGAGCCTGTTACAGGAGAACAGAGCAGCTCATTCCAATCAATAGTTTTAGCAAATTGTCAATATTAACATAATAGACATGAAGTTTGTTGGTATCCTTCAAGAGCTTTCAGACAGACATAAATTTAAGTGGGCATTAGTTATTTTTTATTTGCTGTTAATTCAAATGGTTGTTTCAACTTGATTTTAAATAGGCATTTTATTTTTGAAATTTTCTCTATTGAATTTCTCTTGCTCAATATTCCTGTTTATTACGCACATGGGCTTTTTTTTCTAAACTGTTTCTTGATTCCAAAGTGTGAGTTCCGCCAAGATAACCAAGCTGGAGCATACTTGGACAACTGTTTCAACATTTAGTTTCTGTTGCAATTATTATGGCAAACAAAATCCAGATATAGTCAAGTTCAGGCTCTCTTCCATACCCTACTAACCAACTCCTTTGAAAATGCTTTCTATACTATGGATCTTAATACTCACTGAGCTGGCAAGTATAGGGAAGAAAGATTTGTTCTTTTAAATGTTTTTCCCTTTGTAATATCCAACTTCTATCCATTTATTAATATCTCCCCTCTGTACCTATGGCATCATTTATTTGGTGAACTCACTTTTACTATTGTATTATAACACTAAAGAAAATATTTCTGAAAATCCATAGTCCTAGTATCCTAATAGAACTACTGTATTTCCATTTTAGCATGTTACCTTCCAGGCTTCCTCCACATGTTTATGCACCTTACATGTTATAATCATGTGTTTTTCTTTTCTCTTTTAATTATATCCTAAGTACGTTTTCATATTTCTATGCAACGTTTAGTTATCATTTAACAATTGTATAACTTGCCATATTAGTGATTGATGTACCATAATTATCATACCATACCCTACTATTAGCCATATATCGTGTTTTATGAATGGTTTCATATGGTGTTTTTTTCTCTATTGTTGGTAACAGGGCTACATTATGTGTCACTTGCCCATAGAGGTGGGAATTTACAATTGAAAAGCTGTCTCCTTAGAGATAAGAGTGAGGGGGCATAAATGTGTAAATGGATCAAACACTCAACAGTGTTGGTTTTTTCTTCACTCATACAGGACACAGGATGACAGACAAAATAATTCTTCTTTAAGAAAGTCTCCTTCGGGACAAGAGCCAATGTTTTTAAGAGTAAGATGAGATCTTTCCCCAGCTGAGATAACACTAGTGTGTATCTCAAAATCAGATTACAGTGGTGTCAGTCTTCAAGACAATGATGTTGAACAAGCAAAATGAAAAATAGAAGTAGGCAATAAATAATTACTTTGTAATATTTCAAAAGCATTTTCTTAAAGTGTCTCACCATATATTTTATAATATATTTAATATGTATGTATATTGTTGATCTCCTAGTGACTTACAAATGAACTGGAATTTCAGAAATTCAATAGATTCTCCCCGTGAGTTTTCTATGTTTCAGTCCCTCACTAGAAAAATTAAACTGAAGTTGGAGATATGGAAAAATGCTTTGGTCAACCAAATATCTCAATAAAGGACTGAATTCCACTCAGCCTCTTGTCCAGATAACATAAAATCATATAAACACCATTAAGTCAGAGATCATGTCCTTAATTTATCACTGCCTTCCACAGGGTCCTCACTCCCTGGATGCCCAAAAGAAAGAATTTTATACATGATTCTGTCCAGATTCACAAATAGGCAGGCATCTTTATTAATTGCCACAGCCTTTGGCAAGTTATTCCTGGACCTGACTCTTGCTTTAGATTCTTTCTTTTTTTTCCCTTTATTCCTCCTCCTCATCCCATGTCAGAACCTAGAAACTTGGTATCCTCAATGACAGCACAAGGCTTTGCATGCTTTATTCCTAAAAAGGTACAGAGTTAAAAACGGGCTGGTTCCAAAATGGGACATAAAGTTGTTAAAACATCTCCTGTGCTGCTCTTTAACAAATCTATCCCTAGAAAGTTAATAAAACAAATACTTTTTGCAATTAATCACGTTCTTATTTTTCATGGTAATGGACTACTATATATGATAGCTTTTCAGTCCAAGGCAAGACTACGTTTGTTAAAAAAAATTAGGCTTTTGAAAATCACCTGCTGTAATTCAACATGAAAATATGAACAAATACCTTCCACATAAGTGATAAGACCATCAGACCTACTCAGAAAGGCCTTCCTGCCCCTACGCTCTTCAATCCTACCTCCTTCCCGGCTGTTTCGTGACTGTTCCCTGCAGCTGACCACCCTGAGCATTCACTCAAACAATTCTCTGCCTCAAATGCCCAGCCTGTCTTCACCCTTCTGCTGCCTAATGTCCT